ACATATTTGTAATTACTTTACAAAGTGATTGATCTGCTGTGTATGATACGTTGTTTCTCCTGGGTAAGGAACATAGAAATAACCACACAAGAACAACGAAATGCTTTATTGTGCTTATCTTCGTGTTTAAACAAAAACCTTCAACTTTGTATATCTAAAAATTCACTTTGAAAGATTTCTATATGTAATTTTACCTGAGAATAATGATTGAGAGTGAGTTTTCTTATTTTTTTCTATGACAAGCATGATCTTCCAAATAGCAAACCAGTACTCCAGAAAAGAAAGTAAGAGGAGGACAGGTTCAGATCAAAAGAAAAAAATTGCAGATAGTACAAAGAGCTATCCTGATGTCACATCCAGTTCCTATTGTCAACAGCTTACGTTAGTATGTTAGATTTCATTCATTAGAAGTAGTGCTTCATGTTACAACTAATACAAACACATCAGTAGCAGCTAAAGACAGAGGCATCATTGTTCACTTATCTGTGTATCTATAGCTATCATATCTATCATTTATCCATCTATCATGGATCTATATCTATCTATTATCTCTCATCTATCATCTACCTATATCTATCACCTACCTCTATCTATCTATCATACCTATCTATCTATCTATCTATCTATCTATCTATCTATCTATCATCTATCTTATGGATCCTTTTTTTTGAAACAAGGTCTTATTATATGACCTAAGCTGTGCTGGAAGGAATTCACTATGTACCCTAGGTTGGCCTCAAACTCATAGCAACCCTCTTGCTTTATTCTCCTAGTACTGGGTCTGCAGGCATGCCTACCATGCCTGGCCAGACAGTTCTAAACACTGTGTGGCTGTTAATTAGTTTTACCTCAAGATTTGGTCAGTTTTGAATCGCGCTAATGTTATGCCGAAATCAATGTTCTACTGCCATCTACTGTCCCAAATTCTTTCTCAGTTTTGATTTCTAAGATTTTGTTTTCTTATTTTTTCTCAATTTTATAGCTATAAATTTCCTTTCAGTTTAATCTTCCACTACTTCAAAAAAAAAAAAACATAGATGACTAACACACTGAAACTTAGAGAGGTCAAGTCTCACTCGTAGCTGTGGACAACCCCATGAGTTCACTCAGATTTATCACACACTGCTTAGCCCTCTCATGTAGAAAGAGGGTCCTAGAGATGTAAAATGAATGGGGGCAAAGTCAGCGTCTGCAAGGATGTCTGAGTCTAATAATGAGATGATTATAACACACTTTTATGTCCTCCCAGAGGACACAGGGAAGAACGCATAGTTACTTTAGATTCAAAGTGGGAAAAACGAAATTAGCCAAGCTCTAGGGACAGTTTCTTGACTGAAATAGTCTTAAATTACCAGTAGAAAGGAATAATGTGAACAGAAAATGAATTGGTAAGACACTCCAGGAATAACATCAGGAGCAAAAGTAAGACTACTATCATATATGTGAGAAGAATGTTCTTAGAGTGTAAGACAACCGAAGATGATGTGTGGGGATGGAGATGCAGCTGAGACCAGGTATGAAGGAATGTGCTCATCTCTTTCAGGACGCACGATGTTCATCTTTGTGATGATGGCGGACCAGTGAGCAGCATCGTATATTACTATTTTTTGGAGAGGCAAGAACATAAGGGGCCCAAGACAAGCTAAAGAAATGATTCTATCCACATCTCGTTTAGTGAACCAATGAGTTACATGAAATTTAAGTGTATCTGAGGGGTTAAAAAGAGTTACTTACATGAAGCCTGGGTAATGAGTTATAACAACATCTATCTATGATCTCCAAACTGTTATAGCATTGAAAAACCTCCATCATATCATGGGGGATGACCTCCCAAAAGTTTTGTAGACAGATTTCCACCATTAGTTAGATTTCCACTTCCTGAATATTCCAAAGACCCTAGACAACTGGGATAGAACTTCTGGTAAACTGCAAAGACCACAGGCAGCCAGGACAGAATTACATATATCTGGATGGGGCAGGAGAGAGAAAGTGGCTGTTGTCTCAGGTGAGGGTTTAAGATGCCCTCTCCCCTTCTGTGAAGGAATGTTAATAGGCTCAGTCTCGTGTGGGGAGTTCCACGTGCTCTGATTAAGATGGTAACTATAATTATGCCCTGCCTGGGAGAGTGTTTCCTAATAGGCATAAAAAAAGAGAGAGAGAGAGAGAGATTGCTAGGATCTATTGAGTCACAGTATTTTCGTAATTTGTAAAAAAAAAAAATAGATGTACAAATGATTAGTGAAGAGGCAGCTGAGACAGGATGGAGCAGAAATTCTAGACACTGGGAAGCAAAAGAACAGCACATTTCTAATTACTAGACCACAAAATATAAGCTAAAGAATCAAGGATTACCTCAGAGTTTTAGTGACCAAGTTGATGGGGGCTGTGCCAACCCAGAGTGCTATTTACAACACACAAGATGTTAAACGCTACAAATCAAGGAAAAAAGCTAAGGAAATGCTCACCATCACATCACTGAGTAGGAAGAGTCTGAAGTAGGAAGGAACAGGATGTGAGGGGAATAAATGAGAAGTTGTGTGAACAGGGAGAGACTGAGAGGGAAAGCCAGTGCTGTCACCCTAGCACTTGGAATACTTGACACAGGGGGAACAAGATTTTGAGGCCAGCTTGAACTGTACAATGGCAACAACTTCACACACACACACACACACACACACACACACACACACACACACAAAGCAGAAGGCCTTAGAGGGAAAGCACACAGTCTTGGATTACCTGATATTTTGCTTAGCCATTGTCCTGCAAGCTCTATGTATCAAAAGGAAGGAACTTCTCAGTGACAGATGACAAGGTCTGTGTGTCTGTGTGTGTGTATGTATGTGCGCGCGTGCGCGCTCAGAAACAGACATACATGTTCACCCGTATAAAGCTGTGTGTAGCGGAGGCTGTGAGAGAGCTTGTGGAATATCCTTAAGAGGGGCTTGACCACATAGACTAGATTTCTCCAAATGATATTGTGTCTATGGTGATAATATCTTGACCAGTTTTGATTTAAGTTGTTTATTTATTTGTTTGTTCTCACATTCTAGCCCAGGCTGGCCCAGAATTAACTATGAAGTCTAGGTTATTGGACTTGAACTTACGGTAATCTTCCTGCCTTGGCCTCAGAGTATTGGGATTATAGCCATGAGCTGCCATTCCCTGCTGACATTGGCTGATCAATAGAAACTCTAAGTTATAAACTCATAAATTAACCTTTTCATCATAGGGTGTGATTAACTGAGGTTATACTTTGGAGTCATCTTGTTATACGGAAAACTTTTTTGTATTTTATTTTGGATAGCACATCAGGTTGTGGGATCAGGAGTGATGTTAAACAAGAAATGAGATATAAACTATTGAAAAGGTCTTACAAGGAAGTGCTCTCACTCTCCTCCAACTGCCTTTTGCATTTATAAATTAGTTATGGAGTCAGATAAACAAGGACCAGGTATATACCTTTTGGTTATAAGAAATAATCTATTAATAACTGCCTGGTGGTATGTTTTATGCCAGCCATGTGGTGTCTTGGCTCTAATCAACAATTAGTTTAGCTTTTGTTATTTTTATCTTGAGAAATAAACTATACCTTCTCTGCCTTTGAGTCGACAGAACCAATTAATTAGTATAGTCTCTTTCAGAGATTCTGAACAGCCAATTGCTTTGTCCAGTTTGATATTAAGGAGCTCCACTCCACAAAACTCAGGAAATTTCATCATCCGAGAGAGGACATATTATATACAGTCTAAAATTATTCATTAAAATACCAATGAAAATGCATCTGATTAGTAAAAATATGACTTTCCCATATAGAGCATAGCCAATTAAAATATTTTCACTACGTTTGAAAGACTTTAGGTCCTAAAGTTTAGGACCTCGCACTTGCCCTGTGGCCAGTTAACCTTGCTCAAAGCGTATGCCTCTGCTGGGTTTTGGAACGGAAACACTGGTTCCTGCGAAGTGAAGGTTGGCTAGTGATCGTCTTTGGACTCTGGGACAGATCTTTGCAGTGTTCTTAGTCCATGCATCCTCAGTAACTACTTCCGTTGCGAGTGTCATGTGTAAGAAGGAAGTAACACTGAGCGCTTTCCATTGCTTTAAGATGACATTGACATAAGGTTTCAGAAGATTTCGGGGTACGGGGTAAAATGTGAATGTTCTGGTTGCTCTGTCCCAGGCCACCATAACAGCTGGCACTGAGCATTTGTTTCACGCAGTGCCACTCCTGGCTGTTGCCCCAGCCTGCCTACGCGTGAAAATTCTCAGGGGCAGAAGGATTTGGAGGAGGGAGAATTTCAGTTGCTGATACATGCAGACACGTGATTTTATTTGAAAAAAAAAACCAAATATTGTGTGAAGTACATAGAAAGGGTCTAATTGGGTAGCTGTGTAGGGAACATACTAACTGGGGCAAAGGGAACTGAAGCTATCAACACCAAAGCTACCCAGATTAGGAGACAGCCTTCGCAGCCTAGAGTGAGCCACTGGGACCTGTAGATCACTTAGCCTGAACCACAGGAACACAAAACATTTGCGTTGTCTATGGCAGCAAGAGTCAAGGTGCAAAGGTGCGTCCGGGCAGGAAGTGGAGTATCTGCCCGTGCGAGAGCCAGGGACAGAGAGAGGCTCCCAGGTTTGAGCCCCACAGGTCCTCACATTTTAGGGCCCATCATTTATTCAGACCATTGGGATGTCCCAAGCACAGTGCTTGGAGCTCAAGTGTAGTCTTAGCCATGTTCCTTACTCTGTGTACACAGTTAATTTAGGGCAGAGCACAAGCTGGCGCTGGAGTGTCCACAGGTGTGTGCGCTGGGCTGGCGGCAATCTGGTGGGACTGCAGGCGGCTGGCGGCACGGGCACGCCCACCCTGGCGAGGAGCCCGGGGCGAGCCTGAGCTCTGCAGCCCGGGTGACCTGGCAGGTCGGGGCGGTGCGCTCTGAGTCACCGGAATCAAGGTGTGGCCGGAGCGCCGCGCCCCCGCCGCCAGCCCGCGGCCGCGTCTTCGCGGGAGCCGCCTCTTCCTTTAGTCGCCGTGTCAGGGCTCGCAGGGCCACTCTCCGCTGCTGCTCCTGCCCCGCGTTCCTCCGCTCCGCGCCCGCCGCCACCGACGACATGCTGCGCTGCGGCCTGGCCTGCGAGCGCTGCAGGTGGATCCTGCCCCTGCTGCTGCTCAGCGCCATCGCCTTCGACATCATCGCGCTGTCCGGCCGCGGCTGGCTGCAGTCTAGCACCCACGTCCAGACATCCTCGCTTTGGTGGAGGTGTTTCGACGAGGGCGGCGGCAGCGGCTCCTATGACGATGGCTGCCAGAGCCTTATGGAGTACGGTAAGTGACCGCCGCCTCCGGAAGCCCTTCGGGGCCTGAGCTGTGGTAGCAGCTGGGGCCAGTCTTAAAGAGGTCAGGGGTAGTGGCTGTTTCAAAATCCGCTTAAGAGTTCAAACTTCAGAAGCAGCAGTTTTGAGTGACCCAAATCAATGTTAGCCATTGCAAAGTACGTATAAAAATAAATAATCTGCCAGGGTGGATTTGTTTCATCTCATCAAACTTAAACTTTTTTTTTTTAAACTTATGAGAAAGTCCTTTCAGTTCAAGTAGGAGCAGTTATGATTTCAATAGACACTTAAGTATCCTAGCTGTGGAGCTGTTTCATGTTCACTCTTGTTCTGGGGAGTGGCCTTAGTTGAAAAGTGACTGTTAAGGAAGTTATCTGAATCTGATTTAAAATCAGAGAAGTAAACACTTCATTGAAGTGGAGTTGTCACTTCTAACACTTCGCAGGAGACCTCTGTTTGCCTCTGCCAGGGAAGGGCCCCAAGTACTTGATTTACAGGTCAGTAGTCTTTGAAAAGAAAAAAACAAAAACAAAACATTTTCTTCCTCAGGCAAACCTCCCTCTTGTTTAGGATAGGTAATGATTAGCAGTGTGTAGGGTTCGAGGGGACACAAACTATAGCCAATGAAGGCTTTACTGATCAGTTTGGCCCCTTTCAAGGGAGCAAGTTACTTTTCTGTTTTCATTCATTTTCTAGTTTAACCATTACTTGATTCTTTTCCTGAAGCACCAAGGGCTTCTGCCAGGTGCTGTTTGGTTGGGTTCTGCACCCTTTATCAAGTCCTTATCAGCTTATTCTCCCTGGAGGAACTTCCCCAGACAGAGAGGCAGGTAGTAAAATGAGAAGACTGTAGAGGTTCCTGCTTTCTTCAAGGCCTGTGCTCTCCCTAAAAACAGACACAAATGCTTGGCTTACAGAACTTTCTGTTGCTTCAGATAGCTGTTTCTTAAAATGCATTCAAACTCTGTCTCTTTCACAGGATGGAAGAGGTATGCTTGAAAGTTTTTAAAATAGACTTTGGTAATTATAGCTCACTCCAAGGCTGATCCAGCCCCAAAGAATACTCAGTAGCAGAAGCCAGCTTGCAGAGGCAGGATCAGCATTCTTGCTGGGACATGATTTGGCCTGCAGGGCCCTCTTGTGAAACACACACAATGCCATTTCCCTGTTTCTTGCCTTGTAGGGTAAGCTCATCTTTTAGGGTGTGCCTGCTCTAACCTCAGGCTGATGCATCACTGTGTGGATGGAAGGGAAAGGGCAAGCTTTGTTTCTAGGTTGTTTCTTTAACCATGAGTCCGAAGCACCAGCTTTTTCCCACTGCAAGCAAACACCCATCTGGTGTGTAGTTTGTTTCTATTCACTATAGAAATCAGCCTTGGAAAACATCCGTTTTCCAAATGAATCTTGAAAATGTATTACTTTCATGATACAGTGCCTGGTTCTCAACTGATCCAGAGTAGCTGTTAAAGAGATTTAACACCTCAGAGGAGTCATTCCTATCTCCTTCACAGAGGTAATTAAATTGCCATAATGTGGTACACACCAGAATATGTATCACCAATGGAAGATTGGCCTTAGTGTCCAGCTGTGGAAGGAAACAAGAGCCGCCAAGCCATCTACAATGTCCCCATCTCCTCACCATTACAGACAGGGAGGAGTTAAAACTCTTCTCATTCTGCCCACTCTGTGTTGACTGATCAGTAGTGTACTATACAGCTGCAAATGAATGGCGTGTTCTACCCTTTAAGACAATGGTCTGGGCAGGTAAGAGCTCTATAGATCTCCAGAAAGCTTTAATAGGGCCTTGCTAAAAACAGTGTGCTCATATGAGCTCACACTGTCTGGAATGTACGCACTCCCACAGTACAGGAGCACTCTCTTGTATGTCAAGGAGCAAGGTAGATAGGTCTGTTTAAACCGTACCAGTATATAGGACTGAGCATGTGCGCCTCTCCCTCTAGAACGCTTCTGGATGATCCTTGAAAATAATGTCTATTTGAAGCTATTAACAAAGCAAAACTTTCATGACAAAGTGCTTGATGATTGCATTTTGTTGAGTGGCATTCATAACATTAATACATTTATTTTGTTAGTAAGCACCATTATTGGCAATGTGACCATAATACTAAATAATATGCATATTTTATAAAGGCCAATAATTTATTAGGAATAGATAAATATATTACAATATAGTCTTCACTGTTATTGTTAAAATTTTAAGAATTGTGGATTACAAAGTCATCTCATTTATTTTCTTACATAAATAATAAAAAACAAGGCAAGGTAGACCCTGAATAATTTGTGTTGGTGACAGCTAAATTAACACTTATTTTAACAAATACTTGTTTGAGTGTTCATCTTAGGTTTGTCAAGAAGAAAACGAGAATCTAGATTTGCAATTAAAGTGATCATTCAAGTTTCTCCGATAAGCCAAACTCTGCATTAAACTTCAGTGAGTGTGCACACATTTGCTTTTGCAATGCTAGGACCTTCTTTTCCAGTTTAGAGAATATTGTGACAGGGGATTATTTTAAGCTTCAACTGCACAGACTTCAGATCTCAGGCAAGCTCTGGCTTGTCAGGGTGGAGGATATAGGGATGAGATATGCACTGAAAGAAGGAGGAGGAAGAAGAGAAGGAGAAGGAGAAGAGAAGGGGCCTTGGAAAGTCAGGGGCTGGAATTTATATTCTGAAGCACAGAACCTCAGTTTTACTAAAGACATCTCATGAATCCCTTAGTATGCACATAGTGTTTTCCCTAGACACTGATTTTCCACAAGTCAAAGTATCTGAGTAGCCTATGAAATGTTTTAAGATTATTAAGCGCCCTGGTTTCTAAAAGTGCAGGACATGAGGAAAATGCAAAGCACCAAGCCAATCATTTACATTAGGCTAAATTCATCAGAAAAGCCTTCCTTCATTGTGGGATGATGTTCTTGCAGCTTTGGGAGGAGTGGGGGAGTTTGCTGGTGGGAGGTGTGATGGGATGCAAGCAGCTGTTATAAAGTTAGATTAGTAAACAGATTTCACATGTCTGCATGCACATGTGTTCACACTCTTAACAGCAAATTTAAAGATCATCCACATCTTTGATGGGATAACTTTAAAATGTACATTGGTGTGTAAACCTTAGGTATTGAGCCCATGGTGCAGGCTAGCCCACTGTTTCTTTGTTCCAGTAGCACCCGGAGAACCTCAGTGTCTTGGGAAGGACTCCATTTGGCTCTGCCCTAATAACACAGACCTCTGGACCTGTGGGATTAAAAACGAATTAAGGTGCTGAGTTCCAGTTTTCACCAAAACCCCACAATTAATGTCTACAACCAAGCAGCCTCTTTTTATTTGAGGCCTTAATTCTGGCCCTGGACAATGCGACATAGATACGTGTACCTCTCCTAGGTGGCCTGAGAAAAAAATGTGCTCCCTGCCTTTCCTGCTGTCCAGCATTCTTCCATCAGAATGGAAGATTTAAAATATTTGAGGGTCTGTTGGCTGCTATAGTGTATAGTTTTTCCATTTCTTAGTTCTGTAGAAATACAGTGGTAAGGAGCCACCACCCTGCTGGGTTTCAGGAGAATGTCAAGTGTATAAGGATGCTCCAACAGCTGGAATACCTTGCCTGTGGCTCTCCTGGCTTTTCTCTGCTAGGCCAGCTATTCTTTATTGGCTTCCAGAACTTCTGCAGGATGATAGCTTGGCCCTGTACACGGTGCATTTTGTAGGTCTGTTCTTAATCGTCCTCTGGAGTTTTGTTCCCCCAAAGTTACAAATCAACATCATGGGAAAGTTACTGGATACCAGAGTCTCAACCAACCATGCTTAAAAACTTCAGTGTAACAAGTTTCCCGGGAAGGGGAAGCAGCGCAAGTTTGGGGTGCTGTTGCAAAAGTTTCCAAATAAATGCCCTGCCCCAAGTAATGCCATTGCCTACATCTTCCTATTGAATATGCAAACCAGTGTTTTTATATGGTTATATATAAACATTCACCCATGCTTACCTACTTATGTGTAAGGTCTTTTAGTCTTAAAAATATTTATATTTTACTCCTGCCTATGAACCTCATAGAAACAGTACAATAGACATCTGATTGAAGTTCTGCTCCTCTAGGTGAGGCCTTTGATATTTCTTCTTGAAGAATGGATGGTCTAGAAGGGGACCCCACTTTAGTTAGATGACACATTGGTGCCCACAGAGTCTTGAGCAATGAAGTGGACCACAAAACTATTTGGGTCTGTTTAGTCCATGTGTAAACTCTATGAAGAGTACAGCAAATCCATTGGAAAGCATTAACTTGGGGGTAGGGAGGGAAATTAATGAGTTTCCAAAACACTTACAGTTTAGTACTGTCACCAATATTTCCGTTTTCCTTGGCTTCTTCCATAGCATAAGCTTTACAAAGTAGTCCTTAGAAAACAAGCTTGAGGCATGCACAGAATGCATATAAGAAACAGCCCTTTTTATGAGGAAAGGAAAGCAAACACACAATTCCTCAAACACTGTCCACTTCCTTGGATTTGTTGTTTCAGTCTAGTGAATTGTCCTCTGCCTTCCGCCCCGACATACACACACACACACACACACACACACACACACACACACACACACAACTAGGAATGATGATGAAGCTTGGATAGAAGACACACACACACACACACACACACACACACACACAAAACTAGGAATGATGATGAAGCTTGGATAGAAGGAAGGACCCACTTGTGTTCTGAACTGATAAAGATGAACTCTACCTGCAAATTGCTGTGAGCCAACAAATCATAAAGAAGTACCTTTAGGACATGTTTTGAAAATGGATGTTTTTCCTTGGCTTTGGCAACCAGGATGTAATTTGAATCATCATATAATATAAAATAGGAATAGTTCTCAGAAGCTTGTATACACTTATAGATATTAAGCTCCTGGACAATGGAATGAGATAAAAAGTACATGAAATACAAGTATTTTAGGTTTAACACACACACACACACACATACACGTATATGGTGAGAAAGTGATGTGAAAAAAGCCTGTGATCAGCAGTCCTTTTCTCAGACAGTGTTAGGCCTTGAAGCCTCTGTTGTTGAGACTTGGTAAGGCCAGTGTCTCCATCCTAAAATAAAATTGCTGTTGACCTGAGAAGACATGTTGTCTTGCTTGGAGAGGTCTGTCATGTATCAGCTACGATCTTTAAAACCATGCCAAGATTTCTGTCTAAATGATAGCTAAATGATTCAGTGTGGGTGTCGCCCTGCTGCAAGGAGCAGGTTTTACATGTTCTACAACTGGAGTGGCTTTTCTCAAGAGAAAATGTTGCTTCATTTTCCATTTTGATTTTCTTTATACTCAGCATTTTAAGTAAACAAGACATTAGCTAATTGATTTAATAGGGAAAGTGCCCCAGATGGCACATTGTAAGAATTGCTTCACCCGTTGGTAGGAGATGTGTACATTAGGTTGCTATTTCTTTATGTAATTCTTTGCACGTTCCTGAAATTAAGTGTGGGTTATACTTCAGCCAAATGTCACAGGGAGAGAAGTCACATCAGTAACCTGTCTGTATTAATTGAGTTTTCCTCAAATGAACAGGAAAAATGAATAAATATAGCAGTATTACACAGAACTTATTTAGTTAGACTTTCAAGACAGTCTGTGATTGTGGAAGTACAGCTATTAAAATATGTTCCTTGTTAGGAAATATTCCTATTTTTACTAAAAAATAGTGTTTGAATTCTCCGTGTGCTTATGCAGATTTGTTGCCTTTTCTGGCTTCATAGAGGGAAATATATTTTCTTTTTCTGAGTATGATGGTTGGTTTTATTAAACTTCGTGGTTGGCAGTAACTATATAGACAAACAAACAAATGGACTACTTGATTTCAGGTCAAATACTGAAGCCTCTATGCTTTTGAGGGTCGCGCTGCTTCCATTTTATAGATCTTAGCCATCCAAACTCTTTTCCTTGGCCTTCAATACGCTTATAGAGGGACACAAAGGAAGAGTAGAGCATGATGGGGGGGAGTAAAACAGAATATTACATTTATGTTCATATACAGAGTCTAGAAATCTATCTCCCTGCCCCCACACACTACAGGAAAACAGGAGAGACTGGAGGGAGGAAGACAAGGAGGGAGGAGACAGAATCCTGAGAGTGAAGATGAGCTAAGGTACAAGAATCGTGTACCTTGTATATGTACACATGTATGGAAATGTCACAGTGAAGCCAATTATTCATACAGGAACTAAAAGCAAATCTTTGGTATGCACTGCAGAACCACAAGGTTATTAACAATTGAGCTTCCAGTCTTTTAAGGGCCGATCCAGGAGGTCTAGAGGAAGGCATAAGTACCATTACTTAATATGACACTGTGGACTATGGGTTATATACGCTTAAGAAGTTCTGATCAATTAATTGTCTACCAAAGCATTGTTCTTTCTCCTTTAAAAATTCTCTTACACAAAGGACAAGGTAAAAGTGAGAAAAGAGACGAGGCATTAATTGTATATTCTGGCTTTGGCATTAGTCATGTGTTTTTAAAACAAAATATTGTGTTAACCTCACCCTAAAACCTCTTACTGATCTAACAAGAAGAACAAGACTTGGGTGGGGCAGGGGTGGGGTAGCTATAAGAACTGTGCCTCTCAAATTGGGTGCAATCACAGAGCATCTCGCCCTCCTGCCCTCACTGCTGAGGGGTCATTTGTAGGAAAACATGGGATGAGACATATTAAAATCTTTGTTCTCCTTACTCATTTGTTATGCTCTAGTCAGTCATACACCCTGCAGGGAGCCCTGAAGGGCACTGAAGCAGATGGAGAAGGGAATGAATGGGGAGCTTGCTTAGCCCACATTTGTCTGTAGCAGATGAAGATAGGACCTGGGTGATGGAAGTCTTTAGGGATGACACAGAACCTTGCAAGTGTGGGACGGGGTGAAAATCTGAGATTATGGACAGAAGTTATGGGAACAGAAGAGCAAGTTTTTGGACAGGAAGGGCTGGGGGGGTTAACAAAGGATGATTTTCACATGGGGTGTTTATCCTGAAAGCTTGCAGCCAGGCTGAGTTCACAGGTGAGGAGACTGGTGTGAGGTTAGCAAGGGGCAGAGGCAGAGCCTTGTTGAGCTCTGGCTGCCTCTAAATCCCTTGCTGTTTCTGAGTCATTGACTCTGAGCACCGAAATGACCAGGTGTAAAGTATATTAGCTGTGCTGTAGTTTAGTAAGAAGTTGGATCCAGGGAAGGGGCACATAACTCCCCTTTAAAATTCAAAAAAGAGTGAAATAAGAGCATGCACAGATGAATGGGAAAATAAAGGGGACATATGTACAATAAAATTCCTGGGCAGCAAAAAAGAGTGAAGTGCTAATTTACGTTATAGAATGGCTCACCTTTAAAAAATACTTCCTTTGGTGAAAGAAGCCAGTTACACCAGGATACCGAGTGTAAAATTCCATTAACGCAGAACATCTACACTACACAAGTTAGGAAGCTAGACTAGTGGTTTCCAGAACCTGGGATGGGCATGGTGAGTGACAGAATGACTATAGATGGGATGGGGTTCCTTGGAGAATGATGAATATTTTCTGGAATTGTTAATGGTGATGGCAGTCTAGCTCTCTGAATACAGCACAGCCAAAAAAAAAAAAAAAAAAACACCCAACAACTATGAGATTATAAACTTTTAGTAGATGTACTTCATGACTTATAAAGCTATGTCTTTTTAAACTTATATATTGGATTCCAACAGGCTAGAGAGCAAACTAAGTATTTACCATCTATGAATACCCTCACTTCTAAACTAGAAATGTGGATGGTGTGAGCCGGCAAGAGTTGTTCTGATGAGTTGGTGCACATCCTGATGTTAATTGCTAGCTCTGAAGGCCTGGTTGGGTGTGAAGAGATGAGAAGGTTGAAGGGTAGGGGTTATTGAACGGTTTTGCTTGTCTGGTGGATCACCTCATCTCTCTTGCAGAACAGAAGGACACAAGTCTGGTACAGCCCGTGCAGGTCTTCAAACCTAGAAATCTATCCGCCTTATCCCAATTCTTTTTAAGACCAAGGTCAATAATGAACTCTTGTGAAATAAATTTTGAATGAAACTAGACACTAATATAAACTAAATAGCAATCCTTTAAAGAGGATGCATTTTTGAAAGAGTGTGTAACTTGAATTGTTCAGTATGAACAATGTTTATCATGGTCATGTGTATTCAAATCTGAGTGAGTTTTTAAAATGGATCTATTTATGTGAAAACAGAGCCAAGAAGTTGAACTTACAATTTACAGATGTGCCATCAAATGTAGGGGAACAAAATACTTTAATAATAATATTCTCTATGTGAATCACCAAGTTTCTCCTTGAAGTGTGGAGTTACTTAAATATTCCTAATCTTTCACAAAGTAAAACCAAATCACTCCCTTCCCCCCAAACTCTTTCCTGGTGGGGAAAAGGCTGTATATGATTTAATTAGCAGTTTTAGACTTGGCATGTCTATCTTACAAGTGTCTTTGTTTCTGTCCTGCAGCCTGGGGACGAGCAGCTGCTGCCACACTCTTCTGTGGCTTTATCATCCTGGTCATCTGCTTCATCCTCTCTTTCTTCGCCCTGTGTGGACCCCAGATGCTCGTTTTCCTGAGAGTTATTGGAGGCCTCCTGGCACTGGCTGGTAAGACTGGGTGGCATCAGATCTTTCTTTGTGCTTTCAGTGGGCATGGGTAGAACGTTCTGTTCCATCTCTATGGAAGACCTTTTGATTTGTCCTTGGAAGTGAGTTACAAAGTGCTAAAGTATCAGAGCAGAGATATATTTTAGGAATCTCTATGCCTTACATGGTCTTCTGTTCTCTCAATTCAAGTGACAGAGTTGTTTTCTGCATGTTTCTCTCTTAAGTACCCCCATCCACTCAAACCTACCCCCAGAGACTAGCGATGTGTCTGTCCTGGAAGTACAGAACATTCTAAACCTCCTATGAGCTCCATGCTGGCTGAAGGGACCTGAATGTCTCCAAATGACTTTACTTGTTGAAGGAATTTTGTGACCTGGTGACAAGGTGGGGTAGGGAGGAGCTAGACTTAGCATCTGGAGCATAGATGCCAGATAGGTGAAATCTGTAGCATAGAGCTTGTGCCAGGGAGGTGACGAAGTCATAGGTGACATGAAGATGGATACAGGTAAGTACATAGAGCTCAGAGTGTACTTTTGTTAGTAGATTGCAAGGTCCTGGGATTGAGAAGTAAGGACTATTTGAAGTTTCTGGTAAATACCTGTTAAAGTGACATGTCCCCAGCTACCAGTTAGATTCAGAAGTGAAACTGAGTCACTAGAGAGATCTCTCAGACAGTCCTCTTCCAGAGAACCCAGGTTCAATCCCAGCACCCACATGATGGATCACAACCTTCTATTACTCTACTTCTAGAGGATCCAAGCCTCCTTATGGGTTCCACAATGCTACATGCATGTGGTGCACAGGTAGTCACGCAGGCAAAACACCTATTAAAATAAAATACATAAAATTACAAAAGAAAAAGTGTCAAAAAGTACCTTGGTTTTCTGAGGTCAGACATGGTGCTGACAGGATAAATCAGGCCTCATCTTACTTTTCAAGATACCAACCAAGGGCCACAGGGGAAACAGGACATAATTCCAACCAGGAACTCAGAGAGACAAACTGTATAGCCAGTGTTGGTACTAGGCCAGATGTCCCGTGATTATACAGGTCCCATAAAATCAAACTTGAGCCAGGAGAATGATAGCAGGTCCATGTTATGAGAGGAAGGGAAGGAGGGAGAGAAACAAAGGAAGGAAGGAAGGAAGGAAGGAAGGAAGGAAGGAAGGAAGGAAGGAAGGAAGG